ATTACAGGCATGCATCATCATGCCCAATTTTTGTATTTTTATTAGGGACATGGTTTCACCATATTGGCCAGGCTGGTCTCGAACTCCTGACCTTGTGATTCCACCCAGCTCAGCCTCCCAAAGTGCTGGGATTACAGGCGTGAGCCACCACATCTAGCCTAATTTTCTATATTTTTATAGAGATGGGGGGGTCTCACTATGTTGCCCAAGCTGGTCTCAAACTCCTGGCCTCAAGTGATCCTTCCAATCTTAGCCTATCAAAATGCTGGGATTACAAGAGTCAGCCACTGCCCCTGGCATCTTTTTCTGCTTTATTTTTCTCTCCCTTGTAACTCCGATCATACATGACCTATTGATCTCCTTCGGGGTCTGCCTGCCCCAAGAGCAGAACGCTATTTCCTCTGCTGAGGCCCCACTGCCCAGGTGTCCAGGACCCAGGGCAGGAGCTCAGTGAACTGGCATGCCAGGCCATGGAGGACCCACCCTGCCCTGGGTGATGTGGGATAGAGACAGGAAGGTGGGCTGTGCCTACCTAGACCAGCCAGGCTGCCCTAGCACCAGGAACAGGCTGCTGTGGGGGCCACAGCCCACCTGCACTCTGAGAAGCAGCAATCCACACAACGGCAGCAGGGCAGACGTAAAACTGCGAGGCCTCTGCACGTGGATGAGAACGTGTCAGACGCACCCTGAAAGCTATTCAATGAAAGGCTTGTTTCACGGGCTCCACTGGTGGGCATGACAGCATCGCCCACATGTTCACTCTCTGCAAAGAAAAATGGGCCCTTATGAGGGATATAAATAGCCTGTCCAGATGTGGGAGTGCCTGAGGGGCTTTTCCCAGGACTCCAGTGTGTGTCCCTTGGCGGCACAGATAGCAGCCCCTCAGTGAGACCCCAGGGGCTGCCAAAGCAAGTGCAGGTCAGGGCCTGAAAGGGTTATGTGGGAACCCTCCCCCAACAGGAACGCAGGATGGGGCTCATCACAAACCATCGCTGACCTGCAGGCTGAGCACGCCAACTGATGCATTCACAGTACGGCTGGGACACGGAAAATCAGCCACAATCATGCTGTGTAAGTCTTACCCACAGAAAGCAAGGGAAACAGAAGCCCAGATTGCATGGGGCCTTTTGGGGAGGGGTATGTTCACTGAAGCACAGGCCTGGGTGCCCTGCACACGCAGTCTCAGTGGTCCCTGGTTATTTGGTAAGGCCCAGCAGGCTGTCTTGTAATGTCTGCATAAATGCAAAATAAGAGCATTTAAAGCTGGCTAAAAATACTCTCAAAGCCTGATATGGTTGTTACCAGTCAGTAGCTCCCAACTACAGGGGTGGGGCCTCCACAGGAGAGGCAGTCAAATCCAAGGGCACCAAAGAGCAGTTTAGATCCCACATATACCAGGCGAGCCGCAGGTATGATTTCAGATTTTCCTAGAAGTCACGCTAAAAAAGTACGTTTTCTTTAGTAATATACATATACACACAGAGACAGATAGAGAGAGGGAGAGCGAGCTATACGGAATCTCGCTCTGTCACCAGGCTGGAGTGCACTGACATGATCTCAGCTCACTGCAACCTGTGCCTCCCGGGTTCAAGCAATCCTCCTGCCTCAGCCTCCCAAGTAGCTGGGACTATAGGCGCACGCCACCACGCCCAGCTAATTTTTGTATTTTTAGTAGAGTCGGGGTTTCACCGTGTTGGCCAGGATGGTCTCGATCTCTTGACCTTGTGATCCGCACACCTTGGCCTCCCAAAGGGATTACGGGTGTGAGCAACCGCGCCCAGCCCTTTAGTAATGTATTTTGTCTAACCCAATACACATCCAAAATACATCCATCTACATGTCTTGTATGCAGGTCATAAACAAGGCAGTACATCTTGTCTTCTGTGTGCAAATCAGGCATCTCGGCTCTGATCAGCCACACTTCTGGTATTCCGTGTCAGGTGTGGCGTCCAGCTAGGTTACCGGACAGGGACCCTGTAAGGCATAAGGAGGGAGTAGTGCCCACACAGCCACTGAAATGAGGAGGCGCTGTGGATCTGAGTGTGCTGAAGGTGTGGAAGCTTCTGGTTACTATAGATGAGCCCTCGGCCACGGGCCCCTCCTGTGTGCGAGAGGCGGCTGGATGGTGCTAGTACCCTACATGTCCTGTCCTGTTAAAGCAGCTTTGGGATGCACATCTTTACCATGCTTCCTCTGCACTGGCCTGCTGCACTGTCTCTAGACTGCACGGCTTATCTTGAAAGCCAGGCTTCAGACAGGAAAGCTCACATCGTTTATCATCAGTCACAGCAATGCCTCAGAACGCTAAGAGCCCATCAGGGACGGGGTCCTGGTCATTTTCCAGGTAACAGCCTCACAGGGCTGCAGTAGAGGACCTGGGATACCCTCCTGGGCCTCCTGAAACATGCAGAAGTAATTAGCTCCCCTTTCAGTGTCATTTAATTAAACCTACAGTCTTTCTGTTCTCAGCTCTGTGTCATGCAACTGTACCTGCTAAAAATAAAGCCCAGCTCCTACGAACAGGGCTCCATCCCAGTGCAGGTGAAGCAACCCTGCCTCCAAGCCGTGGGGCACACTCGGACACCAGAGAGGCTGGGCAGCACCTACACAGTGCACTTCTTAAAGACTACACGTTGTTTTAAATTAAGAAAGAAGGGCCTAAATGCAGATATTATCAAAACAACAACCAAACTCAAAGAAATTCACTTTCTGCACTCAGAACTTCTCCCCATAAGCACATGCAAGTGTAAGAGTTTGGGTCTAAGAAAAGAAATCACTTGCAAGACACAGCACTGGATCCTGCGGCTCTATGATTCCCCCAGATGTCCAAGCCAACCTGTGCTCCCTCCTCCGAAGACACAGGGCCCTTTGCTGCCTGTCTTATCCCATGCTTCTAGGGAATCTGCTGGCAGGTGATGGCCCCCAGGCCATTCCCAGCCATTCCCAACAGGACTGCAGTAGGGACCCCAGCAGCCCAGGCCTCCCGGAACCATCGGGTCCTGGCCCTCGCCGGGTAGACACCCAGCCCTGACGGTCAGCTTCCTGTGGAGGCCGTCCTCTCGCCAGGACCCTGCTTCACAGAGCCTGGCCCACGGTGGCACCGGGAACCACAATGCCTGCTTTGTCCCCACCCAGAGGCTGGCAAACTTGCTTGTATGGGCCACTTCACACTGAAAAAGTTCCCTTAAAAGTTATTTTTGCTTCCACTTCAACCCAAGTTCTAGAATATATGTCTTAATCTTCAGTATGTCCTTTGCAAATGGTCTTGTGTGTGCGGACTCCCTGTATGAAAACTGCAGCGAGGAGGATCCCAGCCTGGGCAAGACCTGGAGGGCTGAGGCACCCCAAGGCGGTAAGAGTCACAACCCAGCTTTCTAAAGAGGATGCAAGGACTTATATATCCCACTTCTTACAGCAAAAGTCGCATCTGGAAACACAGACACACCTGCATCAACCTTTAATCCATGTCTCCAGTAGCGGCCACAGAAGGTGGCATGGAAGTGGCTGAGGCTCCCCCAGCTTGGTGTGGCTGATAAGGTCAGCACCCCCAACCCCCCAGTTTCCACTCCCTCCTCTATTTCCATGACCAGATCTAGCAGGAGTGGGCCTTGTACAGGTGGGCCCTCTATCAGATCAAACAGAGCAGATTCTTCTGATGACCACTTCTCTTCTGGCTCCATCTGAGCATGTAAACAAGACAGAAATGAGAAGCCTGCACAGGTGGCTGATGAGCCGAAGACAGTCCCTCCCAGGGCTGCCCAGGGTACCTCCCACATCCAGTGAGAGTGTCAAACCGCAGTCGGTGCCCCATGGTGAAGGCAGGGTGTGAGGCTGAGGGCAGCATTCTGGGCAGGGTGAGTCCTACGGAGCCTGCAATCCTGCACAGCACAAGGATGTGACCTGTCCCAGCCCAGGCCACCCTCGGGATGGTGGGGGGTATAGCCACTCCACAGCACCCTCAGCCCTGAGCTGACCCAGTGGAGCCCTGGCACAGGACTCCACCCAGGCATGTGCCCCGCATGGGTGAGGAAGCCCCGCCCCTCCAGGAAGCCGCCCGGGGCACCTCTGCCCCTTCGCATTTACAGAAGAGGAAACTAAACCCATGAAGTGATGGGCCAGCCCATGGCCCAGCAGCCCTCCAAGGCAGGCTGCCTGATCTCAAATCGTTGGGAGGGGATGGGGACAGGGCCACAGAAAATGCGTGGCCTAGGTCATAGCCTACAACCACATCACTTCATCACGCTGTGCCTCCATGGCCTCATCCGTGACAGGGAGGGCCAGTGCTCTCTAGGGCTGCCATGACATACAGGCTCACGCCCACATGACTGTCCGAAGCAGGACCCCTGTGGCCCAGTGCTCTGGAATCTCAGATAACATGGAGCCCCTTCTTCCACTCGGCACACTCGAGGGGCAGGGATGGGAGCAAGGGTGCAGAAGCCCCGGGGGTCCCCCTCCACCTCATCCCAGCCCAAGCCACCACCTTCCCCAGACCTCCCTGAACATGGGGCATGAAGGGTGTGAGCTAGTGGACAGAAGAGAAGCAACTGCCCACCGAAGACCCCAAGGGTCAGGTGAAAGACCACCTTCCACAGCCCAATATGAACTCCCAGGTGCACCAGTCCTCAGGGGACAGTACAGGCAGGGGCACCTCCTCCACCTGAGCCCTTCCCTTCCTGCCAGGGAAGCCGGTGCTCTGGCTGGGTACTGGGCTCACCACCAAACGACCCGCACCCAGCATCGCCTCACTCATGGCCTCCCCAGCCCCCGCCCACTCTGACTTCTTCTACAGCTGCATCCCTTAAATGGACCCTGACCACTCCAGGCAGAACCACCTGAGCTTCCGGAGACAGGCCTTCCTCCCTCGCTCTCCAGATGCCTGCCTGGCAGGTCAACAGTGAACGGGCATCGCTGCTGACGGAGGGGTGGAACACTGGGACAAGACCTTCTGAAGAGCCAATTCCAAAAGGAACCGTGGCTCTCAGGCGGACGCCATCACTTACCAAACGATCAGTGTTGTCAAGCATTTCAGCATATGGTTTCTTTCTACTATCTGGAGTTGGTAGAGTCTGAAACAGAGTTAGAAAAGGGCGCATTTTAGCAACATAAACTACCAGACTCCTTGCACTATACACACACACAATTCCATACCCCGACCCTGTGCCAAAAATGTCCCCCAGGGACTGCAAGAGCATCATCGTAGAAAACCATCAGTCAGAGGATACAGCTCACCCGGCCAGGTGAGACCAGAGGAGGCATCACAACTAAAGGACAAGGATTAGCAAGAACTGGGAGGAAGGCATCATCTGCACCTTCCTTCACCTACCCATCTCTCCTCCCCTCTACTCCTGGCCAGGTGCCAATGTGGCAGAGAGCATCTCCTTGGCATGGCACACAATCGCTGAGCGTGAGCTCTAGGGCAGGAGGCAGCCAGGGTGGGCCGAGGCCTTACCCAGGAACCCTGTGACCCACAATGAAGCCACAGTCAAGAAGGGCACTGTGGCACAAAGCTCCCAATCAGTCCCTAATTTAAAAATCACATGTGAAGACAATGTCAGTGCTAGTACTCAATATTCCAACACTTCTCAAGTTTTAAAATTAATACATACTTAAAAACCAAGATCAGGGAGGAGATGGAGGGCAATGAAGAGAGGGAGAAGAAAAGAAGAACGCAAACAGGTATCAGAATTTGGGAGGGTTTTTCTTTTTGAGATAGATTCTTGCTCTGTCACCAGGCTGGAGTGTGGGGGCACATTCTCAGCTCACTGCAACCTCTGCCTCCCAGGTTCAAGCGATTCCCCTGCCTCAGTCTCCCAAGTAGCTGAGATTACAGGTGCATGCCACCACACCTGGCTGATTCTTGATTTTTGTATTTGTTTAGTGGAGATGGGGTTTCACCATGTTGGCCAGGCTGGTCTTGAACTCCTGACCTAAAGTGATCTGCCCACCTTGGCCCAAAGTGTTGAGATTACAGGCGTGAGCCACCACATCCAGCCAGGAGGGTTTTCTAATAATCTTAAAAGTAGGGGAGGGCTTAATAATGCCCTGCGGAAAGGAGAAACATGAAGCAGCACGCTGAGAAAATGCAAAGGGCTCTTTCCCTCCTCTACTGGCCTCTTGGAGCAGGGAGTGAGCATCACAAAGTCCCCACCCACAGGGCACACAGCCTCAAATGGCAAGTGAAGGGACAAGATGTTCAATCTCATTGGTGATGAAAGAAACAAATTGAAACCGGACGGCCGTTTTCATCTTTCAGATGAGCGGTAACTTACAAAGCTGAGCAACCAGAGCCCGTGATGGGGCGGGGAAACTGGCGCCCGACAGTGGGGGAGGAGACTTGGTGGCTGCCTGACTGTGACACTCAGGATGCTCCTGAATCACATTCCACTTGGACACAAAGCTACACCATGAGGGTGCTTCCTGCATCGTAGCAAAGCCACGGAAACCCTCAAAGTCCATCAGCAGCTGATCAGGATCAAATAAAGAGTCTATCCAAACGCTGAAGTCTATGCAGCCACTTCAAAGACAAGGAAATCAGCTGGCACAGTGGCTCACGGCTGTAATCCCAGCACTTCAGGAAACTGACAAGGGAGGATTGCTGGAGCCCAGAAGTTCAAGACCAGCCTGGACAACACAGTGAGACCCCATCTCTACAAAACATTAAAAAGTCAGCCAGGCATGGTGGCACACACCTGTAGTCCCGACTACTCAAGAGGCTGGAATGGGAGGATTGCTTGAGCCCAGGACGTCAAGCTGCAGTGAGCTATGACTGTGCCACTGCACTCCAGCCTGGGTGACAGAGTGAGACTTTATCTCAAAAAAAAAAAAAAAAAAAAAAACAAAAAACAAACCCTGAGGAGGTTACCTTGTGTGGAAAGGGAACTGCCCAAGACAGAATAAAAAGGCAGGCTGTGGAGGGGCAGCCAGGGCAAGCCCGCCGCTCCACGGTGACCTTACGTATGTGTGTGAATGGCCGCGTGAGGGACATGGGCTTTTGGCAGGTCAAGAGAGCAGTAACAGGTTTCTCATGCTGTGGAGTGGTCTGGGGATCAGAAGACAACTTGGTCCCTGCAGTTCTGAGCTTCCGTATTAGTGACATTTTTACCCTGCATGCTGCAACAGATTATGTGCCACGGTCACCCACAGAGCAGCACCCCCTTTTTCTTAAGTGGAACCTACAAATTTCACATGGTACATACAGCCTTAGAAAGGCCGACTCATGGCTGGTCACACAGTTCCCTTTCTGGGTCCCCCTAAAAGACTGCCTGTCACACACACCACAAACATACACCACACACATGCATACATGCATACAGACACCCATCCATGCAGACACACATCCACCCACACTTACATGCATGCACATATACACCCATGCACACATATACCACACACACACCCCCATGTAAGCAGACATACATGTATATTCAAAAAGTCACACAAAGACACACGCACACATATACACACATACACACACATGCACACATACATATACACATATATGCACACACAAACATACCCACATGCCACATTCACATACACACACACCTAAACACACACTCATATACACACAGATACATATGCCCACATGGATACACACACAAACACATGCACACCTACACAAACATATATACCTTCATGTACACTCATACACATACTGCACACACCCACATGTACTCACATACACACCAACCTACATACATGTGCCTACACACACATGCACACTCAAACACACACTCTACATGGTCCTCATCCTCGTCCCAAGGGAGCTGCAGCTCAGCAACCCCACTCACTCACACGCTGGGGAAAGAACCACCCCACTACTCCTCAGCAGCTCAAAGGCAGGTTCTGAGCCATCGCGGCCTCCTGGGGACCCCATGTGCCTCTGGTCAGTGGTTCTCACACTGTGGCCTGCAGCAGAGCCCGGGCAAGGGTCTGAATGCCAGATCTCGGGGCCCTACTTGGAGCCCCAGTCCAGTAGCTCTCTGGCGGAGCACCAAGAACATGCATTTCTAACAGTCCCTCGGCTGATGCTGATGCTGTTCCAGTGAACAGCGTCTGGTCCCTAGGGCAGCTTAAGGGAGTCAGGGTTTAGATGCGGCTCATTCATTCTTTCAGTGAATGCTTTTTGCTCCTTTTGTGTGCCAAGCTGCATCAAAAGTCCCTGGCCCTCCTGACCATGCAAAGAAACAACTGGGGAAAGTCATTTCAGGAAGTGAGATGATGATAGAGCAGGAACACAGCGATGGGAGAAAGAGCCTGCAGGGGTGTTAGGGAGACTCTTACTAACACTCCTGAGGGTCTCATCCTCCTGGAGGGATGACAATCCCCCTGCAGACCCCAAGCCTCTTCCCTGCAGCTGCCCCTGCTCTGCCCCTGCCCAGCCCTGGGTCCCAAGCTGACCCTCGTCCTCCCTGCAGCTCTTAGGGGCTGCTCCTGTGTGTGGCAGGCACCTTCCTTCCAGTCTCTACCTGGCTCAGATCCCACTTACCTAGAAGCAGGGACCAAGGTCCCTAGCTGGTCAGAAAGGACCACACACCACAAGAACTAGGCTAAGATCTGAGGGCCCATGAGGCTAACACGAAGGAGCCCAGGCCAGCATCCAGTCACCACATAACAAGCCCTATTCTCTGCAAACTCCAGGTGACAACTGTGACAAGGCCAACTGCTCCTAGGAAACAGCAGGAGGTAGGGAATCCCCTGCCCTCTGTATTCTAGAAACAGCAGCTACAAAAAAAAGAGCCCCTTTCCCACAGGACTGAGCTAAGGCTCATGATGGCCCCATCCACCCAGGATAAGGCCAGACACAGAAACCCGCCAATGCCTGCTCTGCACCCCTCCATGACCAGCGGCACTGTGCGTCCCCCGCCCCCTCCTGATCACTCACAACAAAATGCTCATAACCAAGCCCTGCTTCACTTCTGTCCTCCCCGGGGCCCCTCAGGCACCATGGAGCCAGCACAGCCCCTCTGACAAATGGCCGGCCTCAGGTAAGGCATCTTCTGACTCCACCACCTTCCTCCCACATCCCATCTCTGGTTCTTCTAAGCCTCATCTACACCACCCTACAAAGAAGAGCCCTTTGGTCTAACCTTTGAGACGCGTGTGATCTCACGGTCAGCATGTGACCAGGCCCCGGCCCTACTGTAATAGTCCATGCCCTCCTTTGCACACTCTTAAGAAAGACTCTTCATACTAAGTCTGGTTTTTTATTTGACAACTGCCTAC